CGCAGCTTTTTTAAAATTCATGTATATGGCTGAGTGGCCAAAAAGAATCCTGATAGAATGAAAATCAGTTAACTTACATGACTTGACGTGTGTGTCAGCCAAGGTAATCGTGAAAACAAAAAGACTATGCTATAGAGGAAAGAAGAGAACACAGAATAAGGCAAGACTTGTGATTGGTTGACACAGGACAATGCTATATGATATTAGAAAACTAAATAAATGAATACAAACAAGATTAGTTGTTGTCAGAAGGACTTTCAACTAAAGAAGCATTTTCCTGAAGCTACAGATCTATGTGTGAGCCTTGATCAAATGAGTGTTCCAATTATTTGTAATTTTGGTTTATAGTCAATCTTGCACCCAGCACCCTAAAACCATGTGATGTACGCAGTTGTGGTCATGATTATTTTCAGTAATTGAATAATCTGTTCCATGTTTAGTATTTAGCTGTCTATTGCTGAAAATGACAATAAATACACAATCATACATCAAGTTAAACAATCTGTTATTTATTTCTTTGTCTATGTGTGTGCATTAATTCTATCCATCCATCCATCCATAAACTGATATCAGTTTGTCTAATGAGTGCAGTCAGTGCACACTGCACACTAGCTCAAAAAGAGTAGATCGACTTGTTTGAGCTACCACAGTTTCCGTAGTTAACCTGTAGTGAAAGCGCAGCTGTTGCGAGCTTTTATGGTTGCGAGTTAGTAACATGCACGCGCAATATTTGCCACTTCAGCGACACGGGGACGCAGCGACGTCACATTCTCGGTGGTAACCCGGATGAGCGGCCATTATGGAGGCACTCGGATGTAAACAACGGCATGGATTGCACTGTTAATGAACACATTGTAACACTAAAAAACAGAAAAAACCCCGTGGTAGATGCGAAATCATATAGAGATGGACTCACCGAGCGCATCGGCGAACGTTATCAACTAGCCGTTCGCGCACTTTGCTATCCTGTCTGAATATATTTAGATATCTAACCTAACACCATCACAAAACGTGAACTAAGTTAGTAAGCTTACAATTTAATGTAAATATCAACAGACTAGGCTAATAACATGACACCCATTATTTTAAACCTGTTTTATCTACTTACCGACAACTTCACGGCTGCTCCCTCCACTTGCTGGCAAAAAGCTGCTTGCTGGCGAGTGGCGCGCGAACATGACTTCATTGTCAGAAAGATGTCGTTGGTGTAGACACTTGTCAATCAAACATGTCTGACCAATAGAGAAGCACCCGCCCACTGCGGAGCGTTTGTTTCAAAATGATTCAATCAAAAAAAATTGAACTTCAAAACTTTTTGCACTTCAAAAAAAAAAAAAAAAAAAAAAAAAGATTCAATCAAAACAATTTGAACTTCTAAATTTTTTTTCACTTAAAATTCAAAAACAAAACATTGAAAAAACACATTTTCTTTAATTCCCCTTTTTATTCACGGGGTAATTTTTTTTTTTTTTTTTTTTTTTTTTTTGCATTTGAACAGTCTTTTCTTTGATTGAAAATATATTTTTTTGATTGAAACAACTTTTTTGGAATTGAATGATTAAGACACAAATGTCCTACCCATGTATGGCCCAAACACAAAAAAGATTACTTCAATCAAAGAGAACGTTTTCAATCAAAAAAAAAAATGTTCAAATGCAATTTTTGGAGTCTCAAATATTTTATTTGCATTCAAAAACGATTTTCTTTATTTGAAAATGTTTATCTTTTCATTGAAGTGACTTTTTTATTGATTCTGTTATTTGTTTGTTTGAAGCAACTTCTTTTTTGATTGAATGATAAAGACACAAATGTCCTACCCATTATATGGTCCAATCAAAAAACAATGTTACTTTAATTAAAAAGGTTGCTTTAAACAAAAAAAAACGGACTTCTATCAAAGAAAACATTTTCAATCAAAGAAAAGCAGTGTTCAAATGTATTTTTTTGAGTCTCAAATATATTTTTGGATTCAAATACTTTTTTTCTTTGATTGAAAAGTTTTTTTTTCATTGAAGTGAAGGTTTTTTTAATTGAACATATTTTTTTTGATTGAAACAACCTTTATTTTGATTGAATAATAAAGACACAAATCTACCTTCATAGTTGTCCTGCAAGCTTTATAACGTTGTATACGAGGCGCATGCACACAAAGATAAGTTTCCTGCCGCCAGCGCGTCCGCATCTCGGCCAGATTGCGTTCGTTACTAGGCAACTTATAGACGCGCGAAGTCCGCGAACACACACGGAAGTTCGGCCACCGCGACATCGCGCGAACACACGTCGTGATGGTGAAAGTAAGTTGGAAGAAAGCTCGCCTAACATTTTTTAGACTAGAAGTTCTAGAACATTTAATATATAGGCATGGGCGGCGCTAGGGAGGGGCTAGCAGGTGCTTCAGCACCCCCAAGAAAGACCAAAGCACCCCGATAGCACCCCCCAAAATAATGTTTGGAATCAATTATATTCAAATATATGTTATTTCGAGATATTAAGTCGTTATTTCAATATAATATCTCGGTATTTCGACATAATAAGGGCACATTTTTATCCCATCAAACTTAAGCCTTTTTTGATCGGTGAGTGATGTAGAATAGAATGACTGCTGCGCTTGACAGGGCGCGTAACGAGCAGAGAGAGAGAGAGCCCCGGCCACGCGCACTCTCACGTCTTCATGCTTCAAACACTTTTCGCGCATATTATTTAAAATCAATTGGCACGATAGTAAAAGGTCGGAAGACCGCAGTTTCACGTGGAGCATTTGGAGATTTGTTCTCCTGAATTACCGCGGTGTGTGAATTCAATTGTGCTAAAAAAACACGTTGCCTATAGCTTATCGTCTCTAAAAAGCGTTCCGCCCATTCAGTTGAACCACATTTCAATAAACGAAAAAACCTATCCAGTGATATGTTTTCTATTGACGCAAATCTTTTGCGATGTCCTAAACTGCCGAGATAATCACACAAGCGTGCCGTAGACGTCCACTAATGACACGTCCGATACGCAAACGAATGACTCATTTTAACCATTCACTTTAATGAATATAGTTAAAACAACTGACATGTCCAACACTGAACTCACGAGACCTCTGAATCGGTGTATAAAAAATCGGTAACACTTAATTAGATTAGTTAACATTTACTATTAATTAACTGCATTTCAGCATTGTTAATGTTAATTGTTTCAATATTTAGAGAGTCAGGCCCACTATATGTGTGTTGTAGCCATTAAATAAGCGCATTTAATTAAATTTTTGTTAAAATATTATAATGTTTTTTTTTTTTCATCTGATTATGAAAATTGAACAGCATGAGTAAGATGCGCGATATATTGGAAGATATGATGGGTCAGACATGATTTTGACCACTAAATTTACATTTACACATTACAAATTTACATTTACACATTTATATTTAGTCATTTATTTTAGCAGACGCTTTTATCCAAATCGACTCAACTGAGAACTAAACCAAGCGAGTCATCGTGAAAAGGCAAAAACAACGCAAGAAGTGCTCAAAATACCAAGTTCGGACATTGCTCGGAGTAGCATAAGCCAGACAAGCAAGGATTTAAAGGAAAAGGATTTTTATTTTTATTGTTTTATGTTAATAAATTAAGTTTTGTTTTGTAGAAAGCCTTTTTTAAAGGGAATTTCGTTTTGTATAAATTGTATCTTAATTTTAATCAATTTTTCATCAACCAATTGACTGGGTATAATAGCCTAAATAAGAAGCAAATAGGCTATAGAAGACAATAAAGATAAGGAGGCGCGGGCGAGATTGCATTGCACGTGAACTGGAGCACATCTCATCATAAATTTAGCTCATTTAAATAATAGTGTGTGTGTGTGTGTGTGTGTGTGTGTCGGCCTATATATATATATATATATATATATATATATATATATATATATATATATATATATATATATATATATATATATATATATATAGGCTAATTGCGCAGCTCCCCCTGTCAATGATCCAGCACCCCCTCAGCACCTGCGTTAAAAATAATCTGGCGCCGCCCCTGTATATAGCCCATCGTATACATTATTGATGCAGTCAAAAACTCTACAACTGCTTTGCAACCAGGCCAAAAGCTTTGGCTCAGTTTGGCTAAGGAAATGTTATTGGGTATGGGAAGGAATGAAGATGTATTTCTTCAATTTATTTTAAATTCTATATTATACTGTATTAATAGTATTTCTAGTTAGGCTACATTAAGGCTAAAGCAGAGTGCTCTTGGTAATATTGTATATCCTGTCAAAACATACATTAGCCTAATCATTGCCATTGCATTTGTATTTTTCAAAGATGTCAGGGAAAAATGCAAAAATGTTTGTTTTTCCAAACTTTTGGAGCAATTTGTTATATATTTGTAGCCTAATTTTGAAATATAACATTAAAGAGTAGGCCTATATTTGATGTGATGAATTGCTCTGTCATTTATCAGATTTACCAATTGTTATAATTTAAATTTTTGCTGGTTAATTATGAACAATGGGTAAAATTGGGGGCGGGGCTAGGCGGGGGCAGGGCTACATTTAGGCTCCTCCCCTAACCGCATGTGATCTCACTCCAAGCTTTTGATAAAACTTGAGAACCCTTATTAAAATGTAGGTAATATAATATATAGAGAATTAAAATGAAAAAGAACTTAAAAGGTAATTCTAAGGGAAAAAAAAGAGATAAACTGGACATTAAAGGAGTATTCAAAGAGTAATGAAATATATAGACAAACGAATTTGATTGGGAATCACATTACTTAAAAACACAAAGGTATAGATGGGAACACACACACACACACAAGCTGGGTTTTTGGCATGTGAACTGAACACACAGCAGCCAGAAATACAGAAATATGTGCTGTGAACTCGAAATAATAAAATAATAGAGATGTGACTGTCATCCATGTAAGAACAGGAACAGTAGGTGGCGGCGGTGCAGAGTTTCGAAGAAGAAGAAGAAGAAGAAGAAGAAGAAGAAGAAGAAGAAACAACATAAACCGCTTTACGTCAGAGGAAAAACATGACGACGTCCTAAAATAAAAAAGTTGTAGAATAAAACAACTCTATTTAAAGACTGAGGCGGATATTATCCGTGTTTTCATTCTGTTGTGACGAGTAACTTATTCTTGTCCTCCAGTTAAACAGTTAAAGCGCACACACATATCTGCAGTGCTTCATAAACACCTCTGCGAGTGTGGATATAATAACGTTACTGGTCAAAGGGCATCAATGGCACTCGTGTTCAGTTCTGCGTTCAGAAGTAAGTCACACAGTTTTATCATCTAACGTTAACTGCATTTGTTCTGAATACTCACATTAACCACATTTACCGTTTGTAGAAATGCTACAAGTATTGAACACTAGAAAAATGTAAGAATCAACACAAAATGTTGTTCGTTTTCTAAATCAATTTGTTATTGATTGTAACTGTGACTGAATGTAGGTGAAGGTGAAGGTGTCAGACATGCTGAGTTCTGTTAACTGGGTGAAAGGTCACACACTCAATAATATGTTATTCTCTCTTTGAGTGAATAATTACATATATTTAATGGGTAAATCAAGTTTTTAACAGGTATAGCATGTAGCTGTAATGGCCAGCTGGAAGGTGTATGTAAATTAATAATATAAAAATGTATAAATGGAAACATTCTATGAAAATGTCTGTTTGATGTGATATTATTGATTACGATTAGTATTTGGACACTTAAAGCACGCTTTTATGTTATTACATAACATATCAAACCAATTGGAATACATTTTAAAGAAAGGTAACAAAATACTATATTGGGATAATTTGGTAACATTGAACTTGAAATAACATGTATTAAACTTTGTAAACATATTTCATGTGGGTAATATACTATCTTATTAATTTTCTTTCTTAATGCATTAAAATGTATTAGGATAGAGTATGCGGAAATTAGCATTAACCTAGATTAATAAATGCTGTAAAAGTATTGTTTGTTGTTAGATCATATTACCTGTTAACGAATTAAACATTGTATATGTTACCTTAATAATAATAGAATATTTCGTCAGATCAGGGATGTATTATGGGCCAATTCCTCACCCCTTTTGCCTAAAATGCCTTTATTTAAATGCCAATATAATGTGATTGTAATTTAAAGTGCTACACCTGTGTGAACTTTATGGGAACAAACTCCATAAAGTTTACAAGTTATCTGGAACCAGCGATTGCAAAAATGGTTAAATTAATTCTGAGAAACAGTTAAGTATTATTTGTTTGCAGATTGTACTTGGTTTGTTATTTTGATATCCAGTGGAATGAATGATGATCAGGTATTTCACCATGTACAGCACTGGGGGAAAAATTAAGAGACCACTGCAAAATTACTGGTTTCTCTTGATTTACTATACAGTCATGTGAAAAAGAAAGGACACCCTATTGCATCTATGATTTTATGTCTCAGGACATGATAAAAAAAAATCATCTGGTCCTTGGCACGTCTGAAAATTAGGTTAATACAACCTCAGATGAACAACAGCTAATTACATATTGCACCGTGTCATTATTTATTGAATAAAAACTAGACCAAAATGGAGTACAGCCTTAATGCTTCCACAGGAATTAAGAGAGTAAGTATCCGTCAGGCGCTGCTAATCAAATACCTCTGATTAATTGATCATCAGTAAGTGTGATCACTTCTATAAAAGCAGAAGTTTTGTCAGTTTGCTGGTCTGGAGCCTTCATGTGTGTGTTAACTCAATAACAAGGAGGAAATACATCAGCAATGATCTTAGAGAAGCGTTTGTCTGAGAATCAATCTGAGAAGGGCTATACGGCCATTTACAAACCATCTGAAGTCCATTATTCTACACTGAAGAAGATGGGGAAACATTCATGACAGTTGCTAACCTTCCCAGGAGTGGACGTCCCATCAAATTCAGTCCAAGGGCATACTGTGCAATGCTCAGAGAAATCACAAAACACCCAAGAGCTACATCTCAGACTCTACAGGCCTCAGTTAACATGTTAAAGTTCATGACAGTACAATTAGATAAAGACGGAAGTGTGGCATGTTTGGAAGGGTTGCCAGGAGAAAGCTTCTTCTTCTCTCTAAAAACAACATGCAGTACAGCTTATGTTTGCACAGTTGAATCTGAACAAACCTCAAGACTTCTGGAACAATGTCATTCAGACAAATGAGACCAAAGTGGAGATGTTTGGCCATAATGCACTGCGCCACTTTAGGTGAAAACCAAACACAGCAAATCAGCACAAACACCTCATCCAACTGTCCATCACGCCGGTAGAGGGGGGATGATTTGGCTGGTTTTGCAAACACAGGACCAACTGGGAACCTTGCAAGTCATTGAGTAGACCCTGAACTCTTCTGTGTTTTCTAGAGTCAAATGTGAGGCCATCTGTCCGACAGCTAAAGCTTGGCTGGAACTGGGTCATTCAACAGGACAACGATCTCAAGCACACCAGTAAATCTGCAACAATGGCTGAACAAGAAAAGAATCAAGGTGTTGCACCGGCCCAGTCAAAGCCCAGACCTCAACCCGGCTGAAATGTTGCGGCGGGACCTTAAGAGAGCTGTGCGTGAACAAATGCCTGCAAACCTTAATGAACTGAAGCAACGCTATAAAGAAGAGCGGGCCAAAATTCCCAGAGAACAATGTGAGAGACGGATACTGTCATACAGAATACGATTCCTTCAACGATTGCTGCTAAAACTGGCTCTACAAGCAGTTGAATCATAGGGTGACCTTAGTTTGTCACCCATGGCTTTTCCCTTTTGGCTTCGTTTTTGTTAAATAAATAATGACACGGTTTAATATGTCATTTGTTGTTGTTCATCTAAGGTTGTATTAACCTAATTTTAAGACCAATTTATTTATTGTGTTCTGATAAGAAAAACCATAAAAATGTAAAGGGTGTCCTTTCTTTTTCACATGACTTTATATGTATGCATATTTATATACAAAGACATGCACACACATATATAATATATATAAATATAATAATATATCCACGCATATATTATATAAATAAACTTTTATGTTAGAAATGATTAATTGATTTGACAGCACCAATGTATATATATTATATGTATGTATGTGTATATGTGTGTTCGAGTTAATTCTATAAACTACTGATAACATTTCTTCCAAATTTCAAATAAAAGTATTGTCATTTAAAACATATTTGCAGAAAATGACAACTGGTTAAAATAACGAAAAAAGATGGCATGTTTTTAGACCTCATATAATGCAAAGAAAACAAGTTCATATTAATTTCTAAACAACACAATTCTAATGCTTTACCTTAGAAAGAGTTCAGAAATCAATATTTGGTGGAGTAACCCTGATTTCCCATCACAGCTTTCATGCGTCTTAGCATGCTCTTTACTAGTTTGCTGTTGGGCGACTTTATGCCACTCCTGGTGAACTAATTCAAGCAGCTCGGCTCTTCCTCTTGATCACGTTCCAGAGGTTTTCAACGGGTTCAGGTCTGGAGATTGGGCTGGATATGACAGGGTCTCGATCCAGTGGTCCTCCATCCACAGCTTGATTGCCCTGGCTGGATTGGATCATTGTCCTGCTGGAAGAAAACAATCCTCAAAACATTGTCAGAGCAGAAGGAAGCAAGTTTTCTTCCAGGACAACCTTGTATGTGGCTTGAGTCACGCCTGATTCTGATCTTCTGTGATGAGTCCTGTGTCCACTCTGTGTAATTTAGTGGAAGGTCGGTGATGATCTGGAGGTTCTTCAGTAGGGCTGGAATTGGGAAGATCCAAATAAATGCTGTAAATGACAATGTTTTTACTTGAAATTTGGAAGAAATGTCGTCGATAGTTTATATAATTCAACAAAACTGTTCATTTTACTCAAACGCATACATATAAATATTAAATCCAGAGAAACTTCTATATATACTGTATATGTATTTCTCACTAGTTATTCAGATTAATTTCAAACAGCGGTGCCCTCTACATGTCAGAAGTGTAAACCTGTGAATTTTGTCTGTGTTTTGTGATTAGAAAAGGGTCTGTTCGTACCTTTCCTGAACGCTGTTAGAGGAATGTCTTCATCCGGAGGGCCCACCCCCCCCTTCACAACCCTGTCAGTCAGCCGGCCAGTGGACACCGTCACTCACGTCGAGATCTGCCGTCCAGAGAAACGCAATGCAATGAACAAGGCATTCTGGCTGTACGACCTCATGTCCACATTACACACTGATATCCATATCAATAATTCATTTAATTTCCATTGAGATTTCCTGTTTAAAGGCTTTGTAAACAAATATCTCATCATTCCTGCTAGAAAGAGAGACATAAAAGTGCCCATTTTCTGCCATTTCTATGTTATCTTAAAATGTCCTTATGTGAATAGCAGTGTGAGACTGGAATTTGAAGTGCACAGTGATCTCAGTTATCACATCATGACTGAATTAGTGTGTGTATTTCTGTTGTACTTGCAGTGAAATGGTTGACTGCTTCAATCAGATAGCTGAAGACTCGGAGTGTCGTGTCGTGGTTTTCTCAGGCGCTGGAAAGCTCTTCACTTCCGGTAAAGCTATCAAACATTACACTGAAAAAGTTCAACTTTAAAAAACTACTTTATGCGGTAACATCTACAATAACTGGTTTTGTTGAAATTAAATAAACGATTTAAGATTACTGATGATAACTGAGTTCAACCAACCTGAAAAAAAAAGGTTCTCCAGCTTGGTAAAGTTCTTTAGTACGTTTGATAGAATCTTTTTTGTTTTATATGAAAGTCCTTTTCCACCTTAAATATACTCAAAATATAATTCAATAACCTTATTTAATTGACAACATTTTTACACACAACTTAATTTAGTTTATTCAAAATAAATCAGTTTAGTTTTGGACAGATGTCAACAGTGTTGTTCATCATTATGCACAATGTATATAATGAACCACAAAGTAAAGACTGGTGTCAGTACTGAGAATAAATCTCTGAGCACAATCACTACTCTTCAGCACAATGTTAACCAAACATTCAATAACAGAAACTCCTCTAAATGTCCAACATAACTAAACATTAACGTAAACTACCAACATCTTTCCCTTTACTGAAAAACACAAAATAACACTTAATCCCTAAATTAATGCAGTCCCTTGAAAAGCATGCTGGGAACTACAGATCCACTGCCCAGGGCTGGATTTCTCAAAAGCATTGTAAGCCTAAGTTGATTTTAGAGACCATTGGTGGCAAAGGCTCTACGATAAACTGGATCTGTAGTTCCCAGCATGCTTTGCAAGGGGCTGCATTAGGAGAGTAAATTTAGGGATTAAGTGTTATTTTATGTGTTTTTCAGTAAAAGTAAAGATTTGTGTATTGTATGCCATGTATGAATATTTCATCATTAACTGAATAGTAATGATCTGTGTGCAGGTATTGACCTCATGGGCATGGCCAGTGATATCCTACAGCCTGACGGAGATGACACCGCCAGGATCTCATGGAACTTGCGCCGCACCATAGCTAAATACCAAGAGAGCTTCTCTGTTATTGAAAAGGTTACTATTTTAAAACATCATTAATTTACTGTGAAAACATCTCAATAGAAGAACTATATGGAAAAAAGTATTGGGACACGCCTCTTGATTCTTGAATTCAGGTGTTTCAATCTGACCCATTGCCACAAGTGTATAAAATGAAGCACCTAGCCATGCAGTGTGCATTTACAAACATTTATGAAAAATGGGTCGAGTGGTACTGTGATAGGATGCCACCTTTGCAATTAGTCAGTTCGTGAAATTTCATCCCTGCTAGATATTCCATGGTCAAATGTAAGTGGTATTATTGGAAAGTAGAAGCTTTTAGGAACAGCAGCAACTCCATGAAGCAGAAAACCACGTAAAGTCAAAGGCGAATTGTGTGTAAAAATTGCCAACGCTCCACAGCTGAAGAGATCCAATCCCCAACTGGCATTAATATTAGCTTAAGAACAGTGCGTGGGGCTTCACAGAATGGGTTTCCATGGCTGAGCACCTGCATCCAAGCCTTACGTCACCAAGTGCAATGCAAAGCGTGGGATGCAGTGGTGTATAAAGCACGCCGCCACTGGACTCTGTAGCGGTGATAACGTGTTCTGTGGAGTGACGAATCACGCTTCTCTGTCTGGCAATCCGATGACGAGTCTGGTTTTGACGGATACCTGGAGAATGTTACTTGCCTGACTGCATTGTGCCAACTGTAAAGTTAGGTGGAGGGGGGATTATGGTGTGGGGTTGTTTTTCAGGGGTTAGGCTTGACCCCCTTACTTCCAGTGTAGGGAAACCTTAATGCTTCAGCATACCAAGACATTTTTGCCAATGCTATGTATGCATCCAACTTTGAGGGAAGGTCCTTTTCTATTTCAGCATGACTGTGCCCCAATGCACAAAGCAAGGTACATAAAGACATGTTTGGATGAGTTGGTTGTGGAGGAACTTGACTGGCCTGCACATAGTCCTGACCTCAATACCATTGAACACCTTTGGGATGAACTGGAACAGAGATTGCGAGACAAGCCTTCTCGTCCAACATCGCTTCGTCGCTTCTAGAAGAATGATAAAGAATTCCCATAAACACACTCCTAAACCTTGTGGAAAGCTTTCCTAGAGGAGCTGAAGCTGTTATAGCTGCAAAGGCGGACCAACTTCATATTAATGTCTATTTCTTTAGAATGAGATGTCATTACAGTCCCTGTTGGGGTAATGGTCAGGTGTCCCGGTACGTTTGTCCATATATTGTATATGAGAATATATGTATTGTATACCATAAATGGGATATAGGTAATATGGGAAATATACTCAAAAGTTCATACAGAAATGAAGATTCATTCTTTATGCATATTTGAGAACTATTGCGAATATATAATTGGCTATAACATTCAATGGCAACCAACTAACTACTTTATCTCAATGCACAAATCGTGTTTCATCATTGTGTCTCTTGTGTTTCTTTGTACAGTGTCCAAAACCAGTGATTGTGGCTGTTCACGGTGCATGTATAGGAGGAGGTTAGTTTCCCTCTGTTAAGAAATTTCATTCTATCTAACATTCTATACTTCATTGCGAATATACACTCACCGGCCACTTTATTAGGTACCCCATGCTAGTAACGGGTTGGACCCCCTTTTGCCTTCAGAACTGCCTCAATTCTTCGTGGCATAGATTCAACAAGGTGCTGGAAGCATTCCTCAGGGAGTTTGGTCCATATTGACATGATGGCATCACACAGTTGCCGCAGATTTGTCGGCTGCACATCCATGATGCGAATCTCCCGTTCCACCACATCCCAAAGATGCTCTATTGGGTTGAGATCTGGTGACTGTGGAGGCCATTTTAGTACAGTGAACTCATTGTCATGTTCAAGAAACCAATTTGAAATGATTAGAGCTTTGTGACATGGTGGAAGTAGCCATCAGAGGATGGGTACATGGTGGCCATAAAGGGATGGACATGGTCAGAAACAATGCTCAGGTAGGCCGTGGCATTTAAACGATGCCCAATTGGCACTAAGGGGCCTAAAGTGTGCCAGGAAAACATCCCCCACACCATTACACCACCACCACCAGCCTGCACAGTGGTAACAAGGCATGATGGTTCCATGTTCTCATTCTGTTTACGCCAAATTCTGACTCTAACATCTGAATGTCTCAACAGAAATCGAGACTCATCAGACCAGGCAACATTTTTCCAGTCTTCAACTGTTCAATTTTTTTGAGCTCTTGCAAATTGTAGCCTCTTTTTCCTATTTGTAGTGGAGATGAGTGGTACCCGGTGGAGTCTTCTGCTGTTGTAGCCCATCCGCCTCAAGGTTGTGCGTGTTGTGGCTTCACAAATGCTTTGCTGCATACCTCGGTTGTAACGAGTGGTTATTTCAGTCACTGTTGCCCTTCTATCAGCTCGAACCAGTCTGGCCATTCTCCTCTGACCTCTGGCATCAACAAGGCATTTCCGCCCACAGAACTGCCGCTCACTGGATGTTTTTTCTTTTTCGGACCATTCTCTGTAAACCCTAGAGATGGTTGTGCGTGAAAATCCCAGTAGATTAGCAGTTTCTGAAATACTCAGACCAGCCCTTCTGGCACCAACAATCATGCCACGTTCAAAGTCACTCAAATCACCTTTCTTCCCCATACTGATGCTCGGTTTGAACTGCAGGAGATTGTCTTGACCATGTCTACATGCCTAAATGCACTGAGTTGCCGCCATGTGATTGGCTGCTTAGAAATTAAGTGTTAACGAGCAGTTGGACAGGTGTACCTAATAAAGTGGCCGGTGAGTGTATATAACAAATTCATTATAGAACAGATTGCTTCTTTAGTATTATTTGTTATTATTTAGTAGTTTGCTGCTTCACCAAAAAGAAAACGATTCTTCGTAACCATATATAAATGTTATCATTTCATTGTCTTCTTTTACAGGAGTGGACTTGATCACAGCATGTGATATACGACTGTGTACGCAGGATGCCTGGTTTCAGATCAAGGTGACCATTTAATACCATTTTAGAATAAACTTAGATTTGCAGAGATTTAAATTTGAATGCCTGAATTGATCACCCTTTCCTGTTCAGGAGGTGGACATTGGTTTGGCAGCTGATGTCGGGACTTTGCAACGTCTCCCCAGAGTGATTGGAAGTCGAAGGTACTAGCTTGATCTTAAAGCGTGTTATAGATCCATTAGCAGTGCCCTGTTTTTATGCAATTGATAGTAAAGTTTGCTCCCACTGTCTTTCAGTCTAGTGAATGAGTTGGCTTTCACTGCAAGGAAACTGCATGCTGATGAAGCCAAGAGCTGTGGATTGGTCAGGTGAGATATTTAAGCAATAAGCTAAGATGATGTGCTATTTTGAATTTATAATATATACTGTACGTTCACAATATAGTGATAAGTGATTTTTAAAATAAAAACATTCCTACTGTAGATTTAAGAACTTGGCTATCCTCTTGACATGTGGAAAGAGTGAACACAATTACACTCATTGGCCATATTATTAGGTCCACCTGTTCAACTGCTCATTAACGTAAAACATCTAATCAGCCAATCACATGACCTCCAATCACGTGACCTCAACTCAATGCATTTAGACATGTTCAAGACGATCTGCTAAATTTCAAAACTGAGCATCAGAATGGGTTGTTGGTCTGGGTATGACAAAAACTGCTGATCTGCTGGGATTTTCACGCACAACCAACTTTAGGGTTTGCAGAGAATGATCCAAAAAAGAGAAATCCAGTAAGCTGCAGTTCTGTGGGAGAAAATGCCTTGGAGAATGGAGAGGACTATGATCAGACTGGTTCAGCTGATAGAAAGGCAACAGTACACAACACATCAAACCTTGAAGCAGAAAAGCATCTCTGAACACACAACACATCAAACCTTGAAGCAGAAGAGCATCTCTGAACACACAACACATCAAACCTTGAAGCAGAAGAGCATCTCTGAACACACAACACACATCAAACCTTGAAGCAGAAGAGCATCTCTAAACACTCAACACATCAAACCTTGAAGCAGAAGAGCATCTCTGAACACTCAACACGTCAAACCTTGAAGCAGAAGAGCAGCTCTGAACACTCAACACATCAAACCTTAAAGCAGAAGAGCATCTCTGAACGCTCAACACGTCAAACCTTGAAGCAGAAGAGCAGCTCTGAAACACTCAACACATCAAATCGTGAAGCAGAAGAGCATCTCTGAACACACAACACATCAAACCTTGAAGCAGAAGAGCATCTCTGAACACTCAACACATCAAACCTTGAAGCAGAAGAGCATCTCTGAACACACAACACATCAAACCTTGAAGCAGAAGAGCATCTCTGAACACTCAACATGATCAAACCTTGAAGCAGAAGAGCATCTCTGAACACTCAACACATCAAATCTTGAAGCAGAATAGCATCTCTGAACACTGCAGAAGAGCATCTCTGAACACACAACACATCAAACCTTGAAGCAGAAGAGCATCTCTGAACACACAACACATCAAACCTTGAAGCAGAAGAGCATCTATGAACACACAACACATCAAACCTTGAAGCAGAAGAGCATCTCTAAACACTCAACACATCAAACCTTGAAGCAGAAGAGCATCTCTGAACACACAACACATCAAACCTTGAAGCAGAAGAGCATCTCTGAACACTCAACACGTCAAACCTTGAAGCAGAAGAGCAGCTCTGAACACTCAACACGTCAAACCTTGAAGCAGAAGAGCAGCTCTGAACGCTCAACACGTCAAACCTTGAAGCAGAAGAGCAGCTCTGAAACACTCAACACATCAAATCGTAAGGCAGAAGAGCATCTCTGAACACACAACACATCAAACCTTGAAGCAGAAGAGCATCTCTGAACACTCAACACATCAAATCGTGAAGCAGAAGAGCATCTCTGAACACTCAACACATCAAACCTTGAAGCAGAAGAGCATCTCTGAACACTCAACACGTCAAACCTTGAAGCAGAAGAGCATCTCTGAACACTCAACACATCAAACCTTGAAGCAGAAGAGCATCTCTGAACACTCAACACATCAAATCGTAAGGCAGAAGAGCATCTCTGAACACTCAACACGTCAAACCTTGAAGCAGAAGAGCATCTCTGAACACTCAACACATCAAACCTTGAAGCAGAAGAGCATCTCTGAACACTCAACACATCAAACCTTGAAGCAGAAGAGCATCTCTGAACACTCAACACATCAAACCTTGAAGCAGAAGAGCATCTCTGAACACTCAACATGTCAAACCTTAAAGCAGAAGAGCATCTCTGAACACTCAACACATCAAACCTTGAAGCAGAAGAGCATCTCTGAACACTCAACACATCAAACCTTGAAGCAGAAGAGCATCTCTGAACACTCAACACATCAAATCGTGAAGCAGAAGAGCATCTCTGAACACTCAACACATCAAACCTTGAAGCAGAAGAGCATCTCTGAACACTCAACACGTCAAACCTTGAAGCAGAAGAGCATCTCTGAACACTCAACACATCAAACCTTGAAGCAGAAGAGCATCTCTGAACACTCAACACATCAAATCGTAAGGCAGAAGAGCATCTCTGAACACTCAACACGTCAAACCTTGAAGCAGAAGAGCATCTCTGAACACTCAACACATCAAACCTTGAAGCAGAAGAGCATCTCTGAACACTCAACACATCAAACCTTGAAGCAGAAGAGCATCTCTGAACACTCAACATGTCAAACCTTGAAGCAGAAGAGCATCTCTGAACACTCAACACATCAAACCTTGAAGCAGAAGAGCATCTCTGAACACTCAACATGTCAAACCTTAAAGCAGAAGAGCATCTCTGAACACTCAACACATCAAACCTTGAAGCAGAAGAGCATCTCTGAACACTCAACACGTCAAACCTTGAAGCAGAAGAGCATCTCTGAACACTCAACACATCAAACCTTGAAGCAGAAGAGCATCTCTGAACACTCAACACATCAAACCTTGAAGCAGAAGAGCATCTCTGAACACTCAACACATCAAACCTTGAAGCAGAAGAGCATCTCTGAACACTCAACATGTCAAACCTTGAAGCAGAAGAGCATCTCTGAACACTCAACACATCAAACCTTGAAGCAGAAGAGCATCTCTGAACACTCAACATGTCAAACCTTAAAGCAGAAGAGCATCTCTGAACACACAACACGTCAAACCTTGAAGCAGAAGAGCATCTCTGAACACTCAACATGTCAAACCTTGAAGCAGAAGAGCATCTCTGAACACTCAACACATCAAACCTTGAAGCAGAAGAGCATCTCTGAACACTCAACATGTCAAACCTTAAAGCAGAAGAGCATCTCTGAACACACAACACGTCAAACCTTGAAGCAGAAGAGCATCTCTGAACACTCAACACATCAAACCTTGAAGCAGAAGAGCATCTCTGAACACTCAACACGTCAAACCTTGAAGCAGAAGAGCATCTCTGAACACTCAACACATCAAACCTTGAAGCAGAAGAGCATCTCTGAACACTCAACACATCAAACCTTGAAGCAGAAGAGCATCTCTGAACACTCAACACATCAAACCTTGAAGCAGAAGAGCATCTCTGAACACTCAACACATCAAACCTTGAAGCAGAAGAGCTACAGAAGCAGAAGAAACACACCGGTGACACTCTCTCAGCTGAGAACAACAAACTGAGGCTACAGTTCACCAAAACTGGACAATATAAAATTGGAAAAACATTGCCTGGTCTGATGAGTCTCGATTACTGCTGCAACATTCAGACGGTCGGGTCAGAATTTGGTGTAAACAACATGAAAGCACGGATCTGTCCTGTCTTGTATCAGCGGTTCAGGCTGCTGAAGGTGTAATGGTGTGTGAAGGATATTTTATTGGCACACTTTGGGTCCCTTAGTACCAACTGAGCATCGGTTAAACACCACAGTCTACTTGAGTATTGTTGCTGACCATGTCCATCACTTTATGACCAGTGTATCATCTTCTGATGGCCTCTTCCAGCAGGATAACAGGCCATGTCACAAAGACGACAAATCTGCAACAACTGTTTTCAACACTGATAATAATAATAAATGTTTATTGATCATCAAATCATCATATTAGAGTGATTTCTGAAGGATCATGTGACACTGAAGACTGGAGTAATGACGCTGAAACTTCAGCTTTGATCACGGGAATAAATGACTTTTTAAAATATATTCAAATATAAAACAGTTATTTTAAATTATAATAATATTTCACAATATTCCTTTTTTTTGTGTGTGTTTAGAAACTGCTTATTAATGTCTATTAATGCTTTATGAATGATGAATGGTGTGTGTGTGTATTTATAATAAAATAAATGCAACCTCAGTGAGCAGAAGAGACTTATTTTAAAAACATTAAAAAGATTGTACCAATCCCAAAATTATTAACGGCAGTGTATATTGGTCTCATCAAGCTCCAGCTGTGGTGATATTTGCTAGTTCCAGCACCTTATTGAATCTCCATGAAGAATTAAGGCACTTCTGAAGGCAAAAGAGGTCCAATCCTGAACTAGCAAATTGAACCTAATAAAGTGGCCGGTGAGTTTGTTTACATGAAAAATCTAATAGTGTCTGTGTGCGTTTGTTCTCTCTCATTGCCCACAGCCGTGTGTTCCCAGATAAAGAGGCTATGATGGCCGGAGCTCTGGAGATGGCAGGAGAGATCGCCAGCAAAAGTCCTGTAGCAGTGCAGGGAACCAAAGTCAACCTCGTTTACTCCAGAGACCACAGTGTTGCAGATTCCCTGGACTACATGGTGAGATCACAAAAGTGTTTATAACATGACATAGTCACATAATAATATAATATTTATAATAACAAGGGAAAATACAGAAAAACTTAGATCCAGATTGCACATGGGAATTAAAATAACATCAGCATGGAAGCAATGAGAGGCACGTTATATCGTAAATGAAACCGGGAGAGTTTCCCCAAACTGGAAGTGCCTCCCATAATCTAAAATGCAGTCGGCTCGTTAGGAAGAAAAGGTGGATTATTGTTGTTCGTTTTCTCCTGTTTATGTTAGTAGAAAGGGAAGTTTCTGTATTTTCTTTGTAATCTTTTCCAGGTTAGTTTCTAATCAATAGTTTCTTGTATTTATGTTTTGGCTTAAACCCTTCCCGAAGTTTACGTTGTTCATTATTTCTTACTGTTAATAAATTCCCCTTTTTTTCTGCACTTTAAAAGTGTTCTGTGGTTGTAAAAGGATTTGGGAATGAGAGCGGGGACTCCAGGGATCTTTTTAATCTGATCCCTGTTAATTGTTACGGATGATTTAATTTAATAGGGATTTAACATTTTTTTTATACTTGATTGATGCAAAAGTAACAACATTTGACATGCCGTGATTAAACTGAGAAACATTTCTTGTGTTTCCCGTTGTTGTTTGCGTAGAGCACCTGGAATATGAGCATGCTCCAAACCCAAGATCTAATGAAGTCAGCGCAGGCCGCGATGGAGAAGAAAAGCCTCAAAGAAATCATTTTCTCCAAGCTCTGAGCGTCCACACACCCGACACCACCCGTCGAGTTAGATCTGATCCGCCCGCTTGCCTAAAGCATATCTCGCGATGACGAGCGTCAAGTCCGTCTTCACCTTCAGTGAACTCTACGGGTTTGGTGTTGAGTCTTTCTTGGACTGGTTCATTCAAATGAAAGTTTGATTTAATGTTTTCTACGGGTGCCTTAACGTCTGGCTCACAGATGTCAGATAACTAACCAAAAAAATGCTAAACATGTTCAGTGCTGAATGCACACTAAAATCTAAATGTGTACAGGTACCGAAAATGAAATAAAAAATGCTAAAATGAGTGTATAGGTCATGTCAGTGTGTGAAGAGAAACTAGTTTGGTTTTGTAATGTGAGCATCATCGCGGCGTGGATATCATGTGCTGATCTCCGCGTCCAGGTTTCAGGTGTTCATTATATCATACTGTACACACTGGGAACCCTATCGCATTACTGACTCCCCAGCCGGGTATAAGAGTATAAAACACTGGAGACCATCACAACTGAACCAGAGGGTCCTGTGATCCTGACATCCGGTGCAATGATGTCTGTGCTGAGATGGCTTACTGTGATTCTGCTAGGCCACCTGGTTTACTCCGGTAAGACTTAAACTTCTCCACTGTTTAACACAATTGAGAATAATGAAGTTGTAAAAGTAATATGTCTATAATAGCCAGGTTACAAGTTTGAGTTATTTCAGTGGGTGAATGCCAGAATGATCTGTTTCTCTTATTCTTGATAATAACACAAGATGCAAGAGTATATGTCATTGTCTGGACATTATTAGCCACCTGACTTGCTATTGATATAATAAAGAAAATAGTGTTTTTATTTATTCACGGTGTTTACTTTTGCAATGTTTGTCTTGTTTGGTATGGAAAACTATATACATTTTTTTCATCTGAATATCATCATCATTACAGTGGGTTATATGGAATTTTGCTTTGTATTGAAATTCAAATATCATGCTTTTACTTCTAAAGTGGTTTATGCATTTTAAAGCGTGTATGATTTGTCTGTCACTTACTTATCAACCCGTTATGCTCTGACATTATGTCAGGAAGATGGGAAATGTCAAAGGGAATGGGGTCACATGATTTAAGTTTATCTATATATATGACAATTAAAGTTAATTGTTTTCTATGTGAATATATTTTAAAATTGTATTTATTCCTGTGATCAAAGCTGAATTTTCATCATCATTACTCAGTGTCACATGATCCTTCAGTAATTATTATAAATAATATGCTAAAAAAACAGAATTTTTCAGAATAGAAAGTTCTATTTTATTTATTTGAAAATATAATCTTTTATAACATTATAAATGTCTTTATCGTAACTTTTGATCAATTTAATGTATCCTTGCTGAATAAAAGTATTGATGGAAAGTATTGGTAAAAAAAACCTAATTGTTACTGACCCAAAACTTTTGAATGGTAGTGTTTAATGAAACAAAAGCTTCTATTTCAGATAAATGCTGTTCTTTTGAACTTTTATTTAACTATTTACAACATTGATAATAATAATAAATGTTTCTTGATCATCAAATCATCATATTAGAGTGATTTCTGAAGGATCTGAAGGAACCCTGAAGACTGGAGTAATGATGATGAAAATTCAGCTTTGATCACAGGAATAAATTACTTTTTAAAATATATTAAAATATAAAACAGTTATTTTAAATTGTAATAATATTTCACAATATTACTGTTTGTGTGTGTGTGTGTGTGTGTGTGTGTGTGTGTGTGTGTGTGTGTGTGTGTGTGTGTGTGTGTGTATTTATAATCAAATAAATGCAGACTTATTAAAAAAATTATTAATACAAATCTTACTGATCCCAAAATTTTTAACAGCAGTGTATATTGGTCTCGTCAAGCTCCAGCTGTGGTGATATTTGCTAGTTGACCTTCAACCCCAAATATGTTTAGAATATATAACAGCACAAAGCATGTTACGAGACCGAAATGTCACTGGGTTATTAATATTCTTTCAATTATTGTGTGTGTGACTTATGTAAATATACACCAAAGCTTCAAAATTACAACATTTGCTAGTGTCATTTGATGGGCTTGAAATAATATTAGTGCTTAAGGGTTGAACAATGATAATTCTCAATGTTTTTCAGGCATATTTCCACACTGATAATGAAAATAAATGTAGCTTGAGCAGCATAGAATGATTTCTGAAAGATGCTGAAAATTCAACTTCGATCACAAATAATAATTTACATTTTAAAATGTATTAAAATAGAAAACAATAATTTAAAATTGTAATAATATTTCACAATATTACTGTTTTTACTGTATTTTTGATCAAGAATAAATGCAGATTTGGTGAGCAGAAGAGACTTCTTTCAAAAACATTAAAAAAACTGTTTGTTATATATTTTTTCTAGGTCAAATTCTATGGCGAATGAAGGCCCACGTGCATAAAATCCAACAGGCCCGAATAAAACACACTTCCACTGCCATTCCCAAAACGGGCACAATCCACCAACCCCTGAACCACTTTGACCAGCAGGATGACAGAACCTTCCCACAGGTACACATTATAGACCTCACACTCATCCTGCTTTACACGTGATCAGGGGAACACTTTATAATAAGTATACTGTATAGCCTAATAAAGTACTTCAATCATTTGTAAGTATTAGTTTATAGTTAATTAATAGTTTTTACTGTATATTGTAGTATCTACATTGCTAATATATTAATAGGCTACATAAAAACAGTGAGCTCTTCATTCATAGTCATTAACACAATTATTATTGTTTAATTAGCTCATGTGTAAAGAGTAAGATAATGCTTTAACAGCTTATTTGATTTGTAAATACATTATTATTGTATACTTATTATAAAGTGTTAATTCCTGTATTCAAAATAATGTGAAAATAAATAAATAATGATTTAAGTATTATAAAATGTTGTTTTAATTAATTTGGCCTATAATCATGTCAATTATTTTGTTATCATTAATTGATTAATATTTGTTCTGCACAGAAATTCTTTGTGAACGACGTTTATTGGCAGCGTTCAGATGGACCAGTCTTTCTCTACATAGGAGGAGAGGGACCCCTCTCCAAATTCAGTGTATTGTACGGTTAGGACCCCTTTTTTTATTTAAAGAAGTCATTCTGCTTCTTTCAACCTGATCTCCTGAGAAAAACGTGATTTTTAGCCAAAATACCCGTCACTTCCTCCTCCATCTCGCTCCTGCTTCTGGTCAAATATCCACTGGGTGGCGCTAAATGTTGCATGTTCAAAACTAGTTCAACTCTAGGAAAAAGCATCATGCTGTCATTTACTAAACAACATATTTTTATAACTTTTGGGAGGGCTCTTAATATCATTTTCCTTAGTCTTACAATATAGACTCATCCGTCACATGGCATAACTGGTTGCCTCAAAACATGCATTCACATTTATCCAGAGCTATGGCTTGCAAATAAAGAAGAACATCACAAAGAATAAAAAAAAAGAAGATATTTCCAGAACTGAGTTCATGAAGCAAAGGTTGTGCGTCTATGGTAAAATGGTAAATGGACTGCATTTATATAGCGCTTTCACAGACCCAATGGCCTCCACTCATTCATACACCGACGGCAGTGTCAGCCATGCAAGGCTCCATCCAGCTCGTCGGGAGAAGCTAAGGTTAGGTGTCTTGCTCATGGTCAGGTGGAACCGGGGATTGGACCAGTCGGAGAACGGGGACACTTTAGTGGTAACACTTTAGAAAACTGTGCCTTCATTAATGAATAACTACACAGGAACAAATGAGTTACACACTATTAACACTCCAGTAACTACTATTAACTAACAAGAAACTCTGATTAACAAATTAGTGAGTGATACACTCAGTCTATGTGGAAGTTCACTATTAGCTATTCAGTAACTACTATTTTTTACAGGTTTTACAGGTTCATAATTAACATGAATAATGCATAATTTATAATAAAAGGTAAGGGTAACCCGCTAGTAACGACTCAAGTGTTACTACATCCTTCTAAAGAAGCTGCTTATTATTTGGATCAGTTTTCTTAAGTGAAAACATGATAACTAATATTGACTTAAGTCATAACTTTTGAGATTTTTGTGAGATTTTGGATAGTAATTCCTTCCGATGGATTTGGTAACACTTGAGTCATTACTAGTGTGTTCTCATGATCTCCACTTTAGATGTGATAACACTTGAGTCATTACTATCCAAAATCTCACAAAAACCTCAAAAGTTTACATTGACTTCAGTCAATATCATGTTTTTCACTTTAGAAAACTGATCCAAATAATTAGCAGTTCCTTTAGAAGGATGTTGTAACACTTGAGTTACTTATGCATTAGTGTTACCATTACCTCATATTATACATTATGCATTATTAATATTAATTATGAACCTGTAGTTTTTAGTAGTCTTCAGTGAGGTATGAAAATAGTAGTTACTGAACAGCTAATAGTGAACTACCACATTCGACTGAGCGCTGTTACTTACTAATTCGTTAATCAGAGTTTCTTGTTAGTTAATAGTAGTTACTGAGTGTTAATAGTGTGTTACTCACTTGTTCCTGTGTAGTTATTCATTAATGAAGGAACAGTATTCTAAAGTTGAAGTCAAGTTAAAGTTAAGGTTAAAGTTGAAGTTAAGTTTAAGTTAAAGTTTAAGTTAAGTTGAAGTTAAGTTAAAGTTAAGGTTAAAGTTGAAGTTATGTTAAAGTTGAAGTTATGTTAAAGTTGAAGTTAAAGTTGAAGTCAAGTTAAAGTTAAGGTTAAAGTTGAAGTTAAGTTAAGGTTAAAGTTATGTTAAAGTTGAAGTCAAGTTAAAGTTAAGGGTAAAGTTGAAGTTAAGGTAAAGTTGAAGTTAAGTTAAGGTTAAAGTTGAAGTTAAGTTAAAGTTAAGGTTAAAGTTGAAGTTATGTTAAAGTTGAAGTTAAGTTAAAGTTGAAGTTGAAGTCAAGTTAAAGTTAAGGTTAAGGTTAAAGTTAAAGTTGAAGTTAAGTTAAAGTTGAAGTTAAGTTAAAGTTGAAGTTAGGTTAAAGTTAATGTTAAAGTTGAAGTTAAGTTAAAGTTAAAGTTGCAGTTAAGTTGAAGTTGAAGTTAAGGTTAAAGTTGAAGTTTAAGTTAAGGTTAAAGTTGAAGTTTAAGTTAAGGTTAAAGTTGAAGTTAAGTTAAAGTTGAAGTTAGGTTAAAGTTAAGGTTAAAGTTAAAGTTGAAGTTAAGTTAAAGTTGAAGTTAAGTTAAAGTTGAAGTTAAGTTAAAGTTGAAGTTAAGGTTAAAGTTGAAGTTAAGTTAAAGTTGAAGTTGAAGTTAAGTTAAGGTTAAAGTTGAAGTTAAAGTTGAAGTCAAGTTAAAGTTAAGGTTAAAGTTGAAGTTAAGTTAAAGTTGAAGTTAAGTTAAAGTTGAAGTTAGGTTAAAGTTAATGTTAAAGTTGAAGTTAAGTTAAAGTTAAAGTTGCAGTTAAGTTGAATTTGAAGTTAAGGTTAAAGTTGAAGTTTAAGTTAAGGTTAAAGTTGAAGTTTAAGTTAAGGTTAAAGTTGAAGTTAAGTTAAAGTTGAAGTTAGGTTAAAGTTAAGGTTAAAGTTAAAGTTGAAGTTAAGTTAAAGTTGAAGTTAAGTTAAAGTTGAAGTTAAGTTAAAGTTGAAGTTAAAGTTGAAGTTAAGTTGAAGTTAAGTTAAAGTTGAAGTTAAGTTAAAGTTGAAGTGAAGTTGAAGTTAAGTTAAGTTAAAGTTAAAGTTGAAGTTAAGTTAAAGTTAAATTCGAATTGATTCTCTAGTTTTGCGAAGTCTACCACAGGCATGTGATCTGCAGGGCACCATGTGCTGATGGCGGAGAGGCACGCGGCGCTGCTGGTGTCGCTGGAGCACCGCTTCTACGGGCAGAGCATCAGCCCTGATGGACTCGAGACTGAGACCCTGAGACACCTCTCCAGCCAGCAGGCGTAATGATGACGAGCTTTCACACATCGCAATGGTGATCGCAGTGACAGTAATGATGCATGTTGTTTCCTCTCCTCCCGGTCTCAGTTTGTCCGACTTGGCTGCGTTCCGGCACTACATCAGCCAGCGCTTCGGCCTCTCGCACGCCAACGCCTGGATCAGCTTCGGAGGCTCCTATGCTGGAGCTCTCTCGGCCTGGCTGAGAGGAAAGGTTTGTTCCCAAACAATTCTCTAAAAGTGTTGTTCCCGTGTTTTTAACTACTAATGCATGCACTTATTGTGTCCATACACTTGTGCTGCTGGGATACGGGTGAGGTTCGGCACAGGTTTGGGGGGTTAGGGTGTAAGGGAGGGGTCAACGGTATAGGGGTGTCACAATATATCGTAATAATAAAATGGATCAATATGTATCGTGGATAGTGACTATATGTATTGTGTATTATTCACCCAAAATAAAAATTCAAGTTTTCAGAGTTTTAGCGTCATTACTACATTAAACTGCTATATATAATGTTGAATATAATGTATCAACAATGGGGGAATAATGCCAAATGTCTGATGTTACCAGTAAAAAGTGGCCGACATTATTTTAAATATATCTATAGTCAGTGAAAGAGTGCAAGCATATTCTTCTAAAATAATTCTCTATTTTCAGCTTCAGAATTATGAATATTGTTATTCTGGTGTCTCTATTGTCCTGTGCTTTGGGTTTCCAGCACCAAGTCCAATCCTATTCATTTACACACACAATGTAATACAAATGTATTGTATTGTGTGTATTTATTTATACAAATTGATTATACACAGTACACACAAATATATTATGTAAACACAAACTTTTATTTTGGATGCGATTAATCACAATTAATCGTTGCCCAGCACTAATTATAATAATTAGTAATAATAATTAGTAAATGTTGAAATTAACATGAACTATGATGAATAAATTAACTTTAGTAGGCTAGTATATTTCATTGTTCATGTTGAGGAATGTATTAACTATTAACAAATGGAAGCTTATTGTACCAAAAGTGAATTCTGTCATCATTTGCTTTACTTTGTACAGAAATGTACAAAAATGCCTATGCTGCTCTTTTCCATTCAGTGAAACTGCAGAATGTGTTTTTGCTCTAGTTTCCTCATCTTATCTATGGAGCAGTGGCGTCCTCCGCCCCCGTTCAGGCTCAACTGGACTTCAGCTCTTACAATAGGGTGAGCGTTTCATTCTTGTCAAGTACCTATCGTTGTTATTCATGTTATTGTTGTTTTCGGTCTGTACAATTGTCCTGTAAAATAAAAAATTAACATTTGATAATTATAGGCCTAATAATTATTTTATTTTACATGTCAAGTCACAAATTCTTCACTTTCAAACGTTCAAATCTTCAAGCATTTATTTTGGCAGGATACTGGTGGAACTCTATACACTTCTATCGACAGAAATGTTGGAAATCGTGTGATTAAAGGAACCTAATATGCATTGTTTTCCCCAATTCTATGGTGCACTTCGGTCACTTGACCAAAAAAATGAAGGTTTGAAAATTTTAGAAAATCGTAGCATCTTCAGAATGGTACGAAAACTTGGTGACTTTTATGGCACACACACACACAAATGAACTGGTAGCTGTAACAATATGGAAAAATTAAGCCAGAAGACTCAAATAAGAGGTTGAAAACATTTCTATTACATTTTGATGTTATGTTAAGCAAAATGCTTTCTCTGTGTTCAGGTAATGACTGTTGACTCTAATGACTCGTGAAATGTTTCTTTGATGAGTCAGTTTTTGCGTTATTATAAGTAACATCAATGCAAAAACGGACTCATCAAATAAAAATTTCAAACAAAAAGATATCTAAACCTTCGAAAAAAATAGACTTTGAGATTGTCTAAACATATTTTCAAATCCTCAACCTAATAAAAGTAAGTAATTATGTTTAAAAACAACTAGAGAATTTACAAGCCTCTTTAAATAGAGTTATACAGGCATCTAGTGGTTACAACATGACATCAAATGTGTGTTTTTTTTCTTTTTTTACTGCTACCGATGACACTAATCTGTCTTCAAATTTGGATTTTAAATACTGCTTTAACTGAATAATAATAATAATAAAAATATTAGAAAAAAACCCCGATAACTTTCAATCAGAACTCAAGTGTGACTCCCAAATTAGGAGCCTGAGAGGGTTAAACTCGCCGCATAGGAGATTCCCAACACCAATTTGGGAAACTCTTTTCGGAAAACTTTTAGTTATTATTGCATAACTTGTGTGTTTTGGCATTGAAACCTTTATTTTGCAGGTGGTTGCTTCTAGTCTTATGAATGAGGCAGTGGGTGGCTCTGAAAAGGTAAGAGCACATTTAGGGTTGCTATGAATTTCTCTGTGTCTATCTGAGAGTGTGTGTGTGCTCGCTCAGTGTGTAGCCGAAGTGAAGGGAGTGTTTGCAGCGGTAGAGGCGGCTCTGCTCATGGGGAATGAGACCCTGGTGGGGAAAGACTTCGGCTGTTGTGAGACCCCTCTGAAAGTGGAGGACAAAACGGAGCTGTTGCGGAGTTTGGCTGATATCTTCATGGGAACCGTCCAATACAACGAGGAGGGGGTCGCATTCAGCATCGCTGAGCTGTGTGACATCATGGCCAATAAGAGTGAGCAGAAGGAGGAGGCGTACGACCGTCTGGTCAAAATAGTGGCGGTAACATTTCTTCATCTCTTTTTATGGCTTCCTAAAAATTTGGTTCACATAAAAAGTGGAATTGTGTGTAGCTTTAATAAAGAAATCAAATAAATTAAATTTAAGTGTAGATGTATTTTAAAGTTGTGTGGTAGAACAGTATTCATCACCACAGATAAGATAAGTCAATTTTGTTTCAGTTTCATAACATTATTGCTGTGTTGCGTAGGTTAGAAATTAGAAATGTACATACTATACAATTCATTTGTTATATATACTGGTATATAACTGGTCAAAAGTTTGGAATAATTAAGATTTTTTTTAATGTTTTTTAGTCTCTGATGCTTACCAAGACTTACAGTAAAAAATACAGTAAACACAGTTTATATATACTGTATTTTAAAATGTAATTTATTCCTGTGATCAAAGCTGTATTTTCATCATCATTACTCCAGTCTTCAGTGTCACATGATCCTTCAGAAATAACTCTAATATGATGATTTGATGATCAATTATTATTGATGCTCAATTATTATTAATTGTTCTTATTACCATCAATGTTACACTTTGCTGCTTATTTTTTGTGTGTGCGTGTGGAAACTATTACATTTTTAGGATTCTTTTAAATTGTAAATACTAATATTTCACAATATTACTGCTTCACTGTATTTTTCATAAAATATTTGCAGCCTTGTAGCATGTAAGGGACTTCTTTCAAAAGCAAAATCTTATTATTCCAAAGTTTACACACACACACATACACACACACACACACACACACACACACACACACACACACACACACACACACACACACACACACACACACACACACACACACACACACACATTCTTTATAGGCTGTAAACAGTGTATTCACTAGCAGAAGGCTATTAATATTCTAATTTTGCACAGATGTTGTGCAACTAAAATGAAAAACACAATATCATTTCTAACCAGTTGAGGGCATCACTGACTGAAAAATGTTGCCAATTCTCTTTTACATTTGAAACAAAAGTCTACACACAATGTACAGTTTCCTCTTACTATAAAATACATTTTGCTAAATGAAAATTGAAATGATAACATCATCACTGATTATGTGGATAAAGCTTAATGAACGTATTTGTGCCATATCTTCAGATGTACCGTGCCAGAGAGAATGTCCCGTGTCTTGATGTCTCTCACGAGAAGCTTGTGCTTGAACTCAGTAACACTAAAGCTTCGTCCGGTTACAGACAGTGGTTCTACCAGACCTGCACTGAGTTCGGCTTCTGTGAGTATTACATCAACTCTACTCTTTTTGATCATTCTCTGACTTCTGGTTCTCAATCAAACATTCACCCACAAACATCTAGTGTATTAAAAGTATCCGAAAGGCATTGCATTAGATAACAAAAAATCTGTTATCTAATGCACGTGGCATCTGCAAACAAACTTTTTCTCCGAGCTAACTTCATCTTTCTATCCATTTTGCTGGGACTTTTAACAAACTGGTGTCAAGGCGATTTTTATATAGCTTATGCATGTTTAGCAATTTTTATTAAGCATGAAGGCAGTTCCCTCAAGTTCACACAGGTGGAGTAACAATTGGTGTAGTTCATCATATTGCCTATTTGGTCTTTATCTTGAACACTATATCTATTTTTGTATCATTTAGATCCTTACAAACATTTTTGTAAAATTATTTGCTTGAATATCGTGTTGGCGCTATCTTTAAAATAATTGCCATTTGGTTTGATAAACATTTTATCCAGTGGAATGACGTTTATGACATTTTTGAGCGCTGGCAAATATTTTCAAGGTCAGTGTTTTGACGAGAGGAGAACGGGTCCACCGACTGAGCCTGGTCTCCGTTTCTGTCACCCACACAGTACAATCCAACAGTTGTTCTAACTAACACTTTTTAGTTAGCTTTACATAATGTCTTAACTTAATTGTACAAATCTAGTGATCTGTACTATTCACATACTGTACTGTTCCTTGTTTACTCTGAAAACCCAAGTTAAGATTAATTGATTTTTTTTAGTGCCATTTTGTCAAGCAAAAAAGGGTTGGCTGGGAAATAACTTTCACTCATGTCCTCTGCTTCTGCAGTTATCTTCCTCTAGTTGCATTCACTGATTTATCAGTCATCTTGAATGTTAAATTGTCAAAACAACTGAAAAATCTGAGAGAACATCACATAAAGCTGACGACATAAATTTATGTTGATTTTCCTAGCATGTTTTTGTTTGAACTCACCATTATGGTGATCAGTGTCCCATTTGGTTGGGTGCTTGGGACTACATTTATATTATTGTAATTCTCTTCCTATCAATGCAACAATAAATCACAGTTATTTGATTTCAAAGGAAGGGAAACGTGGTAAATAGGTTGCTTTTAAAAGGTGACCTAACTTCTGACTAAATCTTTAACTAGTCTATTTTTCATGTTGAAAAATTATGTTTTAAAATTGTATTGCACCCAGTGTCATAATTTTTTAATTGGGTTGATATAATCCCTCTATATTTGTGATAATATCTTGCAAGTTACCATGCTTGAGTGACACATAGACTTCAAGATGCCAAACAACAATAATTACATTTTATTTATTAATTGTAACAACAATTTTATTTTATTTTTTTGCTGTGCTGCTACTGACACAAGACAGCAAATAAAATTGGCAAATAAAAATAATTGCATAATTTGTTCATGCTGCAATGCACTCTGGGAGTCAGTAATTCTGAGTAGTTACACTAAGTCAAGAGTAAATCTAGTCAAGTTCTCTCTGCAGTCCTTTTTTAGTTACTTGAACTATACTAACTAAGTACAACATAATATGCAATAGTGGCAAGAACCTAAACTCCATTACACTGAAACATTACAAAAACAAATTAAAGTGAAATCGGAATAATAATATTATTCCGATTTCACTTTAATTTGTTTTTGTAATGTTTCAGTGTAATGGAGTTTAGGTTCTTGCCACTATTGCCTCTGGCTTGCTTAGTTGGTGATATTTAATATTCAACAATATTATTGACTTGACTGCACGGACTCTATTGGTGGAGAACTGAGTGGATGATGACATCACTGATTTCTAGGTGCTTTATAGCCGAATTGAGCTCATTGATGATCTTCACACATTTATGAGTACTGCATTATCACTAAACTGATTTCAACTGAATAATAAATGTTTACTATTGTGTTTTTAGAGCTGCTTTACCGCAGAATTGAATCCATTTGCATCATTATTGTCCTGTTATCACTGTAAAGCTGCTTTGAAAATCTGTATTGTATAAAGCGCTATATAAATAAAGGTGACTTGACTTGAGTGTATTTAAGGTAATTAAATATTCTTTTACGAGGTTAGTTTTCATCATGTCTATTAAGTGTTTATTTATAATCCAACTTTGCACCTTTTGTGTTGGTTTATGGATCAGATCAGACATGCGAGGACACTCACTGCCTCTTCTCACGCGTGTCAACCCTTCAGTCTCAGACTGAGCTCTGCTCTCGACTCTTCAACATCCCTCAGGACAGTCTGCCGGTCCGCATCGACTCCACCAACCAGTACTATGGAGGGAACCGGCCCCAAACACAAAGAGTGCTCTATGTCAACGGTGAGCATGAGTGCCTTTGATTCTCAGATCCTTTCGCCTTCGAGTTCATGTTCGAGTTCATTCATATGCATGTAATGACAGTGAAGTTGCCTGTTCAGAGTACAGTGACTGAACATTATGTGATGTGATTCATAAAGACCTGTTTTTCTGACCAAGGCAACATTGACCCGTGGACGGAGTTAAGCGTGGTCTGGAACGACACGATGGTGGACGATGACAGAGTCATTCTTATTGACGGCACCGCCCACTGTATGGACATGAACGCTGATAAATCAATGGATAAACCTGCACTGCACCAAGCCAGGAAGGTAACATGTAATGGAATAATGATTCATTTTAGTTTACTTTTACTTAAAAAATAAGGGAGTTGACATACCTTTTTTTCGGTAACACTTTACAATAAGGTTTCATAAGTAGCTACCTGAGTTAACATGAACTAAGAATGAACAATACCTACTTCTAAAGCATTTCTTAATCTTAATCAACATTTACTAATACGTTATTAAAATCAAATGTTGTATTTGTTAACATTAGCACTGTGAACTAACATGAACAGTTGGATTTTTTATAACATTAACAAACATTAATAGATAATGTAACAAATGCATTGCTCATTGTTAGTTCATGATAGTTAATACATTAACTAATGAACCTTATTGTAAAGTGTACCCTTTTTTCTATAGGGATGCACTGATATGAAAATTTTGTCAGAAAAAAAAAATATTTATATTCGAAAGCCGATAACCGATACATTGGCCGATAAATCTAAATCCAGATTTTATATAATTTTTGAGAGCCTGATTACAAAAACAAAAGTCTCATCATGTCCCAAATCACACAATTATAATGATGTTTTCATTATAATATTATTCCCCCGATATGAGACTTGCATGTTGCACTGAACTGTATTTTCCTTTTCAAAGTGATTCCAATCATATTTCAAGCATTCAAAAGCATCATGGCGAACAGTGTTCATCTAAAGTGTCTCAGCTGAAGGAAATAACACATTATTCATCGGCTTTTATATATTTCTTATCGGGCCAATAACGATAACAATAAAAATGAACATATATCGGCCGATACCGATATATTGTATTTTTTCTCATACAGTTTTCCATGTTGTTATCCCCATAGGAGATTGAAAGACGTGTGGCCATGTGGCTCAAAAGCGCACATATGGTCTGATCAGCACGACTTTTTTATGATCACATGATGACCGAAGCGTGCCAACTGGGTTTCTTTTTATCTTTTAATTGAAAAAGAGAGATCTGAGTGCTTGAAATCTTGAAATCTGCTCTACATTAGACTTCTTAACCTTCAATAGGAGTCGAAAAACTGGTTGAGTTTACCAAAAATGTCTAAATTATTGCCATGTATGTAATAGTATTCAAATATGTACACACACATGATTGCAGTCCAGTCTTAAATGGTGTACATTTTTTATTGCATGATTAATACTACTCGAGCTGAATTCAGAATTCTAAACAAGCATACTAATATTACGATCCCACTTTATATCATCGATGATCTTTAACTACTATGCACTTACATTATAAAACTAAGCATTTGATATGTACTTATCATTACAAACATGTTCTGCAAAAGTCTTGCCAGATTCGCATTTGCTCTTGTTAGGAGTACATTTTGGGTTGGGGTTTGGTAAATAAGTATGTAATTTCGTGCAAATACTTTAATTAAATAGCATTTTATTAGAATATAACTTTTTTTTTTTGTAAGTACATGTAGTTAGACACCTAAGGTAATATAAAGTGGGTTCATTGTTACTATCTGACAGAAATAGAAAGAGTATTGCTAGTGTGCTGCTCCAAATTCAGTTTCAGTCTTTTTTTAAACTTTTGCTTTTGCGAGACACTTTATATAATGATTGTCAGTACAGAATGCAACACCACACTTGTCCAGCAACACAGAAAACACGTCCTGCACCTTTAATCAATGACTCTGTGGAGATGCATATAATACCATGCTATTCTTACTCTTCCTGTACTGCAATGCACAGTGTGCAGATTTTCTATATTTATAACAATATATATATAACAAGATAATAAAAGTATATAACATAAATGAGAGATACACTGTGTGAAAATATCAATATGCTTATGCTTTACCTTTTTCGGTAAACTAATGTAGTTAACTTCTAACTAATGCTCTGTATACAGTGATTAATAAGACCTCTAATGATAATAAAATGTGTTATGGAGAATTTATTTGTGTTTGTGCTCTTGCTACAATGCAGATGTGGTATATTTCACACCTTGTTTATTCCACGGGTAGAAATGATCGTGTTGTTCTGATGCTTTCCCAAAATCTCAAATTTGCGTGCTCATAACTCATGGGATTTCCATAAACCCTACAATGGGCAATTTCCATTCACGATAATATCTGTGAAAAGCCACCAGCTTGTTTTAGACAATAGAAAGAGCTGTTGGTATTACATACTCCCCCTCCTATTAACAATCGCTACTATAGCCAGACAAATGTGATGAGCGAGAGAGAGAATTTATTGTATAAGTAATTGTTTAGTGCTTTAATTTATATAATAGATGAGTCTTGCAAAACTTTCTATACTGTACATTTTTTACAAGTTCAGTTATGCATTTCCAGGATCAAGAAAAATATGTTGAGATGCATGATGTTAAGAACAAGAAAATTATCCTGGTATTCTCATGTACTCCCGTTGCATGATCTGTACATTACAGGAGTAATCAGTCATTTCTATGCAAATAATGTAGAATTAGGGGCTTGTGCAATGATGTCTGAACAACAGCAGAAACACAAAATCAATCATACTCAATCTGTGAATGTATGTGTGTGTAAGGTGAGCAAGAGCCAGTTGTTACAAGGCCATCTGCTTGGCGGCAGTGTGTGTGTGTGTGTGTGTGTGTGTGAGGGGGTGGTTTAGGGGACAGGGGGTGTGTTCAGCTCCTGCTGTTTGGTCCTGCCTCTCGCTGATTGATGATCTCCACTCCCCCAGGGTCGACCAGGTCACGACCTCCTACTACTGACCCCCCCTCCGAGAGAGCTCATTCAGCACACACACACACACACACACACGCACACACACACACTATTCACTCCATTTTGCTGTCTTTCCCCCTTTCCCTTTCAAACAGATCTATGAATATATATATACACTTGCCAATATACAGTATATGATTATTCGTCATGTCTTAAATATGACATGTAATAGTAGGATCCTGCTGTCATATGCTCCGCGTCATCTAAAATTGTTTTAAACAAATATTTTGTAATTATTTTCAATAATATACATTTATGTTAACTGAGAGTATAAGTGTTTGAAATATTTGTATTTTAAATGTCATGTCAACGGCCCTCAGTTAAGACCACAAGGCTATTTAAGTAAATAAAGAATTAAATAATAAATCTATAAATACATTTCAACCAGTTATTGAATATATAGTCCTTCATGTTATATATGATATATTTCTGTAAATATGTGTACATTTGAAGCAGTGCGTGCTATTTGTCAACGGTCCATATATACACTCACCGGCCACTTTATTAGGTACCCCATGCTAGTAACGGGTTGGACCCCCTTTTGCCTTCAGAACTGCCTCAATTCTTCGTGGCATAGATTCAACAAGGTGCTGGAAGCATTCCTCAGGGAGTTTGGTCCATATTGACATGATGGCATCACACAGTTGCCGCAGATTTGTCGGCTGCACATCCATGATGCGAATCTCCCGTTCCACCACATCCCAAAGATGCTCTATTGGGTTGAGATCTGGTGACTGTGGAGGCCATTTTAGTACAGTGAACTCATTGTCATGTTCAAGAAACCAATTTGAAATGATTAGAGCTTTGTGACATGGTGGAAGTAGCCATCAGAGGATGGGTACATGGTGGCCATAAAGGGATGGACATGGTCAGAAACAATGCTCAGGTAGGCCGTGGCATTTAAACGATGCCCAATTGGCACTAAGGGGCCTAAAGTGTGCCAGGAAAACATCCCCCACACCATTACACCACCACCACCAGCCTGCACAGTGGTAACAAGGCATGATGGTTCCATGTTCTCATTCTGTTTACGCCAAATTCTGACTCTAACATCTGAATGTCTCAACAGAAATCGAGACTCATCAGACCAGGCAACATTTTTCCAGTCTTCAACTGTTCAATTTTGGTGAGCTCTTGCAAATTGTAGCCTCTTTTTCCTATTTGTAGTGGAGATGAGTGGTACCCGGTGGAGTCTTCTGCTGTTGTAGCCCATCCGCCTCAAGGTTGTGCGTGTTGTGGCTTCACAAATGCTTTGCTGCATACCTCGGTTGTAACGAGTGGTTATTTCAGTCACTGTTGCCCTTCTATCAGCTCGAACCAGTCTGGCCATTCTCCTCTGACCTCTGGCATCAACAAGGCATTTCCGCCCACAGAACTGCCGCTCACTGGATGTTTTTTCTTTTTCGGACCATTCTCTGTAAACCCTAGAGATGGTTGTGCGTGAAAATCCCAGTAGATTAGCAGTTTCTGAAATACTCAGACCAGCCCTTCTGGCACCAACAATCATGCCATGTTCAAAGTCACTCAAATCACCTTTCTTCCCCATACTGATGCTCGGTTTGAACTGCAGGAGATTGTCTCGACCATGTCTACATGCCTAAATGCACTGAGTTGCCGCCATGTGATTGGCTGCTTAGAAATTAAGTGTTAACGAGCAGTTGGACAGGTGTACCTAATAAAGTGGCCGGTGAGTGTATTTGCAACTAAATTCCATATTCAAAACATCCATGCACAAATCATGCGCGTGCGTGTGTGTGTGTGTGTGTGTTTTATTTGCATGACTTCAGTGTGTTATACAGGTCCTTTTTCTTTTCTGTGACTTCTGTACATACGTACACATGATTATATGACCGCTTTGCATTACACATATACTATGTGTGGACTATGAGCAAAACACCTGCAACTACACATATATTTTAACCATGCTATATACTGTACATAATATATATCACTATGAATTATTATTTTTTAAATCAGCCTGCAATCAGGCTTTATCTCATCACTGCAACCATATAAGCAGAAGCTAAGAGTGTGTCATAGATCTCTCTCTCTCTCTCTCTCTCTCTCTCTCTCTCTCTCTCTCTCTCTCTCTCTCTCTTTAGCTGTTCCCTTGATCAATGAGCAAGTGCCAGAGCAACAACTATTAATCAGGGCCTATCGGCTATCTGTCTACCACAACAACCAATCACAGCGGCCCGACAGCTACTCCATAACAAATGGAGCGGGGGTGGGTGGGGGTGGGGGGGATACTTTATCTGATCTTAGCCAGGTCACAGCACAACGACACTTACAGATGACTACAGATGCTGATTGAAAACACACATGCGGTCTAAAACAAAAGCACACAGGCCCGTGTAAACAGGGATGCCATGCTGCATTGTGGGTCAGACGTGTCCCGCGTCAAGAACAGATCTGTGTCTGAAATAAAGTCCTGGGGAAAGATTTGAATTACCTTACTTTTTTTGCATTAGAGAAAGAAAATTAATTTTGGCTTCCCTTAAAGTTTAATAGGTTTATTAAAGGTCCCGTATTATGCCCCTTTTCACAAGATGTAAAATAAGTCTCTGATATCCCCAGAATGTGTATGTGAAGTTTCAGCTCAAAATACCCAACAGATCATTTTTTACAGCATGTTTAAATTGTCATTTTTTGGGGCTCAGAAAAACGCGCTGTTTTAGTGTGTGCCCTTTAAATGCAAATAAGCTGCTGCTGCCGGCACAGGGGGCGGATTTATAACGTATAATGTATTTGTCATCTGCTTGTATGTATCCATTATTTATTAATAGCCTACAAGTCTGCTGTTTCGGACCAGGTCCGAATGATGATCAAACATATACTGATGAGTTTAATAAAGTTTATTGTACATCACACAAAAGATGAAGCGTCAGTTTTACTTCAGAAAATCACCGTAAGAGCTGAGTAAACACAGTAAGTTATAAGAAGTGCGCAAGTTGAGGGAGTTGAGGGAGCATTCCTGTGGGCGGACGTTAGTCAAAAAACTGTTCTACTGACGTCATTAAAGAAGGAAGTAGAGGGATGTAGTCCAAACGGGCCGTTCGATGTAGGCGACTTCTGTTAAAGGGGTCATATAATGGTACATGCACTTTTACAAGTTGATTGTACTGAAATGTGTGTTGGCAGTGCCTGTACACAACCATCATATAATGATAAAAATCCATCCAGTGGTTTTGTTTTAATCTCCTTATATGTTTTCCCCTGCCTCAAATCGAGCCGTTCGACCGTGTGACGTCACACGCTCGGAAGCCCCTCCCACGATTGTTGATTGACAGCAGCATTTCAACACAGACCCGCCCTCGCTCGTGAGCCAGCTGTCAATCATAGTCCACGCGGACCGGCCATTGTTGATATGCTGGAGCACTGTCTATGAGCA